GTCCAAAGAATATGACCAAGCTAAAGCAGTTCTGCAGGAAGAATGGGCTCAAATTCCTCCTGAACGATGTGCAGGTCTGATCCACAGCTACAGGAAGCGCCTGGTTGAGGTTATTGCTGCCAAGGGGGGTCAACCAGTTATTAATTCTAAGGGTTCACTTACTTTTTCCACTGCCATTTTGAATGTTGAATGAGTGTGTTCAATAATTTTTTTGTGTGTTATTATTTTAGACACATTATATTTGTCAATACCCCTGACTTAGATGAAGATCAGATCACATTTTATGTAGAAAACCATGAAGTTCCAAAGGGTTCACATACTTTTTCTTGCCACTGTATATGTCATACGCAATTATGCATACATTTAGGCATTGCCATGAGATTTCATTTTGTTTGTTTTAGTCATGTGAGTAATAGGATAATATGCCTGCATCATGTGTTGTGTTAAATGCTGCAGTTGATCCTGTGACCCTTTTAGTGAAATTATAATAATTGGCCAGGAATTGCAGTTCTGATATTATGTGTCACTTATTATTATGTATCACCTGATTCAGAAAATACTAAGAATACAACGCTGTAAATGCTATTAAAAGCTTGTAGATGGAGTGATAGACGCAGGAAGGAAGGGTATGTATGCAGCATGCCTTGCACTGTGGTTTAATCCCATCTGCTTTGCTCTGGCTTATCATACCATCTGCTGAGGTACATGTCTGACTCATGTAGAGGAAAGCATATCAGATTCAGATGGGAAGTTTTGACGATCTCTTTCTTCTGGGGTTTTGTATTCTGCATAAATTCATGGTGAAGTTGAGAAACCAGCAGAAGTTCTGTTTCAACCAGATGGGTTCCTGGGCTATAGATGCAGATCTATTTAAAATTGTATTCAATCCATTATATAATCTGATATAAAACAATGGATTTAGTTTTTAGCTTTAGATAAATATTCCTCTTAGTCTGAGTTACAGTTTCACTGGAATTTTCAGAATCTATATTGGATTAGTTTAATACAGCATACAGTATATGCCGGCAATTATCTTCTAGAGAAAAAGATAATTATTACATGAAGCCCACATACCCATTAATTGCCAATCAGCCAGTGCTGATCTTTGACTTTTGGCTGAAAGAAAGCATTTCTAATGACCCCTTAAAGACCAAATCAATCACACCACGCTGACAAAGCCACCAGAAGTTACTTTAAAAGGGAAAGACAGCAGAACGAGTGTTATTACCGGTAATTGTCCCTGTCTGACCATGAGGAATGTAGTATTGAATGTATGGCAACTGTTAATTCATAATGGTTCTTAAATATAGGAAATTTGCAATATTTACAACCAAACTGCTCAAAAACAGGTTTCACTTTGTACATTCAGAAAGCATTCAGTCCGCTTCAAATATTTCACATTTTGTTATGTTCAGCCTTGTGCAAAAAAAAATGCCTTATTTTTCCCCACATCAGTTTACACTCCATACACCATAAGGACAAAGCAAAAACCAGATCTGTGATAACACTGCAAATTTATTAAAAAGAAAGAAAAACTAAACATATTTACAGACAGTGGTGTTTCAAAGTTTGTGAACCCTTTAGAATTTTCTATATTTCTGCTTAAATATAACCTAAACAAGTCCTAAAAGTAGCCAAAGAAAACCCAACTAAACAAATGAGACAAAGATATTATACTTGGTCATTTATTCATTGAGGAAAATGACATATCTGTGAGTGGCAAAAGTATGTGAACCTCTAGGATTAGCAGTTAATTTGAAGGTGAAATTAGAGTCAGGTGTTTTCAATCAATGAGATGACAATCAGGTGTGAGTGAGCGGCCTGTTTTATTTAAAGAAGAGGGATTTATCAAAGTCTGATCTTCACAACACATGTTTGTGGAAGTATATTATGGCATGAACAAAGGAGATTTTTGAGGACCTCAGCTCAAGAGTTGTTGATGCTCATCAGGCTGGAAAAGGTCATAAAACCATCTCTAAAGAGTTTGGACCGATCCACAGTCAGACTGACTGTGTAGAAATGGAGGAAATTCAAGACCATTGTTACCCTCTCCAGAAGCGGTCAACCAACATAGATCACTATTAAGCAACTAAAGGTGGCTCTCACATTGGCTAATGTTAATGTTCATGAGTCCAGCATCAGGAGAACACTGAACAACAATGATGTGCATGGCAGGGTTGCGAGGGGAAAACCACTGCTTTCCAAAAAGAACATTGCTGCCCTTCTGCAGTTTGCTAACAATCACATGGACTAGCCAGAAGGCGATTAGAAAAATGTTTTGTGGACAGAATTTTCGGTTCAAATGAGAAGGGTTATGTTTGGAGAAAGGAAAATAAGAATCTTATCTCGTCCGTGAAACATGGTGGTGGTAGTATCATGGTTCGGGCCTGTTTTGCTGCATCTGGGTGAAGACAACTTGCTATCATTGATGGACCGATGAATTCTGAATTACACCAGCAAATTCTAAAGGGAAATGTCAGGACATCTGTCCATGAACTAAATCAAGAGAAAGAGTGTCATGCAGTAATGACAACAACCCTAAGCACACAAGTCGTTCTATCAAAGAATGATTAAAGGAATATAAAGTTAATGTTTTGGAATGGCCAAGTCAAAGCCATGACCAGAAATTCAATAGAAATTGAAGAAGCACCTGAAGGAAAAACCCGAAGCAAGCAGTTCAAGTGAGGAAACGCACCAACATCCCAGAGGTGTAGCTCTTCTGTATTGAGGAATGGGCTAAAATCTCTCCAAGCCGACGTGCAGGACTGATCAACAGTTACTAGAAATGTTTAGTTGCATTTATCAGTGTACAAGGAGGTCACGCCAGATACTGAAAGCAACGGTTCACCTACTCGCAGATATGTAATATTGGATCATTTTCTTTAATAAGTAAATGAACACAGTATAATATTTTTTGCCTCGTTTGTTTAATTACATTTGGTTCTTTATCTGTCTGTGAAAATCTGATGATATTTTAGGTCATATATAGGCAGAAATATAGATACAGCCTTTTAAGCACCACTGTAAGAATTCAGACCATTTTGCTATGACATTTAGAATTTTGCCTAGGTGCATCCCATTTCTCTTGATCATCTTTGAGATGTTTCTATACTTTGACTGGTGTCCACCTGTGGCAAATTCAATTGATTGAACATGATTTGGAAAAGCGCACACCAGTCTATATCAGGTCTAAGGTCGAATATGCAAAAACCAAGCCATCAGGTCAAAGGAACTGCCTGCAGAGCTCAGACAGGGCCAAAGGTTCACCTTTCAACGGAACAATTAGTGGCTTAGGGACAACTCTGCGAATGTCCAGAGCCTGGACTTGAACCCTATCAAATCTCTGTAGAGACCTGAAGATGGCTGTCCATCAACGGGTACCACCTAAATCTAGGTGTGCAAAGCTTATTGCATCATACCCAAAAGGACTTGAGGCTGTAATCACTGTCAAAGGTGCTTCAACTAAGTACTGACTTAGGGGTCTGTATACTTGTGTCAATGTTATGTTTTAGTTTTTTCTTTTGAATAAATTTGCAGAGTTATCACAAATCTGGTTTGTGTTTTGTCATTATGAGATATGACGTGTAGATTGAGGGGAGATTTTTCGAAAGCATTTTCGCACAGGGCTGCAGCAGAACCGAATGTGAAACAAATTAAGGGATCACTGTAGCAAGAAATTGTCTGAATGTGTTCTCATGCATGTGAAACAACAACAACAACAAAAAAGAAACCACACATCGTGTGTTTCAACTTTTTTTCCTTCTGCTTTTAAGTGAGACTTGACTTGTAGCAACAAATCCACCATCACAAAGCACCAGGGCCATGGTGTGCTATGTGATTCATTAAAAGTCACAGAGGAATGTTGCGTAAGTGTTGCTGGCTCTCGTAAACGATAAATTACATTATCAGAACAGTCGAGCATTGTCTCTCCTACTCAGATGACATCCAGTGCCAGACAGAAAGAGTGGCATGGGATTTTGACTGAAAATGAAGTGCACTGCCAATGTACATTCATGGACAAAATCGTTATATATGCTTTATGTTATTTTACGCCATTCAGAAAGTACAACTGAAATTCGTCACACGAAACATGAAAGCAAAGAGACCTATACGTCGATGTTGATGTGATATGTATGTTTCTCATCCGCAGGTATACACACGCTATGGGAAATGCTACACCTTCAATGGGAACAAAACCTCACCGAAGCGGACACGGCAGGGGGGCATGGGGAACGGCCTGGAGCTGATGCTGGATATACAACAAGATGAATACCTCCCCATTTGGAGAGAGACCAGTGAGTCAGTGCAAAAGTACTGTTAGAAATAGAATCACTGACTTCATTCACGAAGCGAAAGCGGTTCCTGGAATTTCTTTTGTTGTAGGTCTCAACATGGTCAATATATATACCAATGAAATACAAGATAAAGGATAAACACATATAATAAGCAAGTAATTCTATGTGTAATAAGGATCACAAACAGTTCCATTACAAATATTAGGGGGCTGTATCCAGATACATTTATGCTTTATTGGAGTGTAACCGGATAGTAATAATTAAAACCTTACTCAAGCACATTACTATTGGAAAAACGTGTGTTTTGCTCTCCACGTTTAGACGTTCAACGTTTTAAGTAGGTGCAAAACATTCCATCAAATCCATAACAATTTGTATGAGCCAACTAGTTCATTTGTAACCTTAAAAAACTTACGTCATGAATTTTTAAAAATTTTTTTTTTATAAAACTTTAAACAGTTGAGCGCAATTTAGTTGGATCCTGTGCATTTTCCATTACATAAACTGTTGAAAAAGAAAGAAAGAAAGAAAGAAAGAAAGAGAGAGAGAGATAAGAACACTAACCCTCCTCTAACTCATGTTAAACCTACGGATCTTTTCATTTGACTTGAGTTGTGCGACTAGTTTGGAATGTTAGATGCTTACAGGAAAAAAGAGAAGATTTTTTGCTTTTTATATTTAAATACTTGACTATACTTACCAGAAGGCACTGTGGTTTAGTGGTTAACACGTTTGTCTCTCACCTGCAGTGTTGGAGGTTCGAATCCTGTCTGTGCACAGAGTTTGCACGTTCTCTCGGTACTCTGTGTTTCCTCCCCTTAGTCCAAAGCTGTACTGGAAGCTGATTGACATCTCTAAATTGCCTGTAGTGTGTGATTGTGCCCAACAATGGGTTGGCACAACATCCAGGGTGTCGCCCGCCTTGTACCGCAAATCACCTGGGATAGGCGACCCTGTGTAGGATAATCAGTACAGAAAATGGATGGAGTACACTTTAATGCGTTTTCTGTACAACTACTAATAATAGATAGAATGGGATGGATGGAACTGTTGCAGATGTGTTTAAGGAAACCTTTTTTTTTTCTCTGTGCCTGAATCCAGTGTGTCCAGAGGCAGTTAATTGAGGTTACTCTGTGTCCTCTGCTTCACCAGCAGGCCATAGGATAGGAATGCATTCTAGTCACAACAGACTAATAGAATAACCCCAGCAACCTGCTGCACACAGTGAAAGACCTGAACCTCCTTACAAAAAGAGGCTGCTTTGGCCTACTGTGTGTCACAATTCATGTTCAGTCCAATAAATTCTAGACTTTTTTTTATATGCTTTTTAAAACTTAGATCATATAGTTTTACGTTTGTCTATTTATATAAAGCGCCATCTTTTATCAAATATAATCTCAAGGTGCTTTATATAAAGTTATGAGACTAGATTTAAAAAAAAAAAAAAAAAAATGACCTTTCTTTTTGTTGCAATATCTGTTCCATAGTTCATAAACTCTGTGCAGTCTTAAGAAGCCCACCATGAATGACAGTGTGTAAGATTATCAGTAGGGGAGAAAAAAACAAAAAAACGAGACTTCACCTGAATACATTTCATTATGTATTCAATGGGAATGTGGTGAATAGATGGATATACAACAGTCAGTGCCTTCATATACAAACATCCTTAGATAAAGTGGTTTTCTGTTGCGGTCTCCACAGATGAGACCACTCTGGAGGCTGGGATCCGCGTCCAGATTCATAGTCAGGACGAGCCGCCTTACATCCACGAGCTGGGCTTTGGAGTCTCGCCGGGATTCCAAACCTTCGTGTCCTGCCAGGAACAGAGGGTATGCTTCAGTACAGAACATTATACAATATGGCTCTGATAAAGACGGGGAAAAGGACACATGGATATAGCTCTGGCGAGAATGCAAGTGAAGCATTTATGTACTTTTTTATTTTTTTGGCCATAAGATATAATATCCAAGGGATTTTTTTTTTAATACGGAAAATGTTATGACCAGAGCACAGGAGCCATGGCTCACCACCCCAGGGGCAGTTTATAGTTAAAGACTTTGCTCATGCCCAAGTCCAAATTACTAGCACAGAACCTTTACTGCTATGCAACTCTCTCCTCCTGACTCTAGAAGTATATGGGTGGGCAAAGTAAAAAGTGATTTGAACAAAAAAAAATTTTAAATGATAAAAAAAAAAAAAACAAACAAATGTATAATTTTTTTTTTTTTGCCCACATTGCCCACGTAAGACTTTAAGACTATACATAAGCAACAAAAATAAAAAGGGGAAACTTTTACTGCACATATGAAGCTTACAGGATACAGAAAGCACATATTCACGAACCTTAGGGGCTATGTGATGCATTTACAAGGTTCATTCATGCATCCTTAGTAATTGCCCGGTCAGGATCATAGCAGTTTATATTGGGTTGCATTTCTGTTTATATTTTGGGACACAGAACCGACTGAATTCATTTAGAAATAGTGGGATTAAAAACAAACAAACAAACAAACAACAACAAAACAACACCCCAGTGCACAGATAAACAGATGAGACCAATGATGAGCCCCAGGAGATCAATTTTTCAATGTCTCTGGAGTGTTAGGGTTCATATTCAATGAATTGGAGTTTGTGGTGCAAATTTTGCTGCTTCACATACAGTTCCAAATAATCCCACATGTCTGGCCAGGAACTTTAATCCAGTTTCAACTTCTGCTTGTCTACGCATGCAGCTGAATGACATTGGACAAGAAAGCACTGCTGTAGGTGGTTGCAACTTATAGATTATTTCTGGTCAGATGGTGAACGCTCAGTCTTATCGGCGATACCTTCCTTAACCGCTCTGTAAATGTAAAAGATGCAACGTTCCGAAGAGATTTCCTCCTCTTAGGTTCTCTGTGAAATTCGTCCCATTAGCTGTCATACCTGCCGCAGCCGTGGGGAAACTGTCGTGCGTCGTCAGAGCCAGTGATCCCCGGATACGACACCTACAGCGTGAGCGCCTGCAGGTTGCACTGTGAGAGCGTCCAGGTGCAGAGAGAGTGCAACTGTCGGATGATCCATATGCCAGGTGTGTGTCTGTTAATAATTGTGTACGTATATGCACTCACACACTTGCTAAGCTGCTATTAATGTGCATGTCTCGTCTGTAAACTCACTCTTATTGACTGGCAGAGGCTGTCAGTAGATCCATCAATCATCCTCACACTTGTCAGTCAAAGCCTCTTCCGGAAATGGGATTTCGGGGCCATTTCTGTAACGAGCTTTCCATTTAGATGAGCCAGTCATATGCAAGAACGACACACTTCATTGGCATTCACGCTTTCAGTATCCTGACCTCTTTCCTTGCCATTGCCTTTTCGATCATTCTTGTCTGATCATTATAAGGTTTTTTTTTTTCTTGTTTTATTTTTGAATGTGCGACCGGCCTGAGGGCATTAATCAGATGATATCGTATAGGAAGGAGTATAAATCATCCGTTCGTTTACCGACCATGTCATATCTATTCGTCTTTCCACCTACCATCAAGTCATATCTACACATATCATTCCTACTCATGTAAGATGGCTGCGTTCATACAAATTGGTAGACTCTGCATCTTTAATTCTAAGCTTTTCAATGCAACGAACTTCTTTCTGCAGGAAACGCGGATATCTGTACACCAGCAAAAGTGAAATGTGTCGACAGAGCACTTGGTAAGATCTCCTGCTGCAAAAAAAAAAGAATTTAGTAGTAATCAATTGATTAATTTAACACACACTTTGTGCCACTAGATACTAAATTATATCCTTATCATTTAATTCTATATGGATATATGTGCACTGAGTTAGTAATTAAAGTGCTGTTATACGTGCTTTAGTGACAGATCTCTGTTTTTGTCCCCGGATAAAGCTTTGTTGGAGATAAGCTCAGGCGATTCCTGTGTGTGTGAGACTCCGTGTAATGTCACACGCTATGGAAAAGAGCTCTCTATGGTTAAAATACCCAGCAAAGGGTCAGCACGCTTCCTCTCTCGCAAGTACCACAAAACAGAGGAGTATATCAGGTGACATGTATGCACACACACTCACACACACACACACACACACACACACACATTTTCATATTAGTCCTTTGTGAGGACCTACATTTGAGTTCGTGTGTATCTCGAATCGAATCGATCTAAAACCGGAAACCAAAATATCGTCGACATATTTGACTTTTGAAGTAAAATGCAGAATAAGAATAGAAAAGCATCCTCACTTACGGGAATTGAACTAGTTTTGCAAATCGTGTGAGAACATCTGGGCTTCAGAAATCTAGAAAGCACACACACACACACACACACACACACACGCACACACACAAACACAAACATATCCCATCTTCTAGTTGGTTAATATGATAGAAAGAGCTCCTTCCTGAAAAATAATTAAACTGTGTATTCAAATACAGCAAGAAAACAAGCTTGCCGAGGGAAAAAAAATACAATTCTTTTCGCTGTCCGAGCTTCTCTGATAATCACGACGTCTCTCTCGATCTCCTTCACTATTGTTTGTAAAACCGCAATATTGAAAATGAAAATGTAATTTGGCTGCTCCGTGCATAGGCTAAACGAAGTAGCGCTTTTTAAATAGATTGCTCTAAATTGAGATTATCTTCGTTCCAGTAATTATTTTTCTCCCTGTATTCGCCACTGACAGTCCTTTATTTATAACAACACAATAAGCGACATCTTTCCCTTTTTTTTCTTCTTCTTGTTCTAGGCAGTAGGATATTGAATGTTTCTATTAAGAATGTCACAGTTTTGCTGCTTATCTCCAATACTGCAGGGACAACTTCCTCGTCCTGGATGTTTACTTTGAAGCACTGAACTACGAAACGATCGAGCAGAGGAAAGCATACGACATAGCTGGGCTGTTAGGTGGGGTTTGTCGTGTACACGCATGCTCAAGGTGGACCGATGACGCCATTCACAGACAATGTGTTCACTACTAGCACATGAAGATGAGAAACAGTATCTGTAACGATTGCATGACAGGAAGCAGCATGGCGTGAAGTGGACTCGTTCATTTTGAACGGCGAAATTGCAAAGCTGAATTACATACACATCATTTAAAAAGCCACTTGCGTATATACAATATTGATGTTAATGTTACATTTTGGTTTCCACTAATATGCCCGTGCTTTCAGTCTCAACACAAAGCGTTCCTTTTGTCTGTGTGACATTCAGGGGACATTGGAGGCCAGATGGGACTTTTCATTGGAGCCAGTGTTCTCACAATATTAGAGATACTCGATTACATCTATGAGGTACAGTTTATCATTGTTGTTACACCCGACTGCACCCTCGTTGGAATGTACGGTGCGTGTGATCTTTTGTTAATTGTTTAAAAAATGACGATTGATTTGAAGGACAAAAAAAAAAAAAAAAAAAAAGTACATCATAATGTGCTGTTCCTGAGGTGATGTGAGTCACACAAGATCCTGTAACGGGAAGGCTGGTCAGAGGTGGTTGGAAATCTTTCCTTATGTGATCAGAAATGTCAAACGTTATAAGACTTCAAGTTCGGGCGTGAAAAAAAAAAGTCTGAATACAAGGTGACTTGCAGGAGCTGGCAGCCAATCAGAGTGGGGGCGGGGTTAGGAGGCAGAGAGAGTATAAACAAACTAAACCAGATTCTGAGAATGAGAGTTAATATATAATAAAAATGCAATACGTTTATCGTTTACTTTTTGTATTCCAGACTAAATCTCTTTTTTTCATTAGATGTTTTCACATCTTTTGTGAAAAGCACTA